GACTCAACATCTGGGATCCTTGTGGCGCCACTGATAAGCTGGGAAAAGCTTAGCGTTAATACAAGTTTACGCGTCTGTCTCCCAGCATGATCAACGGGAACAACCGTTTTTGATGGTGTGCATTGAAGTTTCCCAGAATGACTAGTTACGCCGTTGGTTAGGTAACATAGGTATGTTGAGCCTCATCGGACGTCTCGCTCAGATGTTGGAACAGCTTGGTCGTCTCCTGATCTCCACTGTGCGAGCGGTAGACACAGCAGTACACTATTTGTGTATCTCCCGTGTCAAACAGAAGCCACAAAACAGAAAAACTCGGAGCCTCAAGGTTCTTGAGACGCTTAACACAGATGTACACACGCGATCGTACACATGACTCCGGCACGAGGTAAAAACCTGTGCTCCAGAGTATACCCAGGGTAGATGAGGTATGCCGCGTCAATCGGACATCTGATCTGCATCTCGGTGAGGAACAGCAGCTGCGGTTTGTCGGTTTCCAGGTGGTGGTGGACCGCTTCGATATTTGAGGAGAGTCCTTAGCAGTTAGGAGGAAGGCAGTGGAACGAGGCATTGCGTCGTCCAACCAAACAACAAACTCACACTGCCACACAAGGATACAATCTGTTTGGAGACCGCGGGAACGCCAGAAAGGATATGGCCACTTGTTCCCCCCTCCGGTCGCCAACCGGCAAAGTGGAGCATTCCGGGATTTTTCGTTGGGTAGCGGGGCAACCTTTCACGGGTGGCTTTCCCGCTAATTGGGCCCCCAACTTTCCACGATCGGCCAGCGGTGTACTACGGAAGCGAGCAACATTGGCCCCCAAAAAATGAAATGTCTGGGGAATTGCAAATTTGATTGGTGATTTTATGGGGAATGGAGTTGTAAAATAACTCATTTGGGGGTTTGAATATTTCTACGTATGGGGATTTGGGGAAATAAGAGAGTTCATATTCCCCGATGTCCGGCAGCCAAGCAAAATTGTTTTTCTTGATTTTTAGGAATTTTATGGCCTTGGGTGAATATCGGCTACTTAACACACATAAATAGGCGAATTAACTTTGCAAAAGTCTGGCAACACTGTCAATACATCTTAAAGCATACAATGCGCGAGGCTGGCGCCTTATCTATCCTTATCCGGTCCACAAATTACAAAAAATTATTAAGGGTCGTATTCCAGAACTCTACTCAATGCTCATGTCAGGACTTGAGTATGATTAAAGCGCTAGAAATCATACTCAAGTCCCATAATATCCCTTACATACTTACCCATAATATCCGGTCCATTTTTAACCGACTTCAAAAAAAGGAAGAGGTTCTCAATTCGACTGTTTTTTTTTTGTATGTATGTTACGCGATAACTCCGCTATTTGTGAACCAATTTTCATGATTCTTTTTTTGTTGGAAAGAGGGTACTTCCATAGTGGTCGTCCCATTTAATTTTGAAGACAATCATCCAGCTCTAAGGGTGGCTGTTCACACATGAAGATTCATTTTTATAAATAGCGCCTAAATTTTAATATAATGAGCAATTATTTTAATGGTTGATTTTGCGATTCTTTCATTCAAGGCGTTTTTCTCTCTCAATATACTTTAAATAGTGAAAACCGATTTTTATTATCTCCTGTGTCCGGGTTTGCGTACTTTCCGGTAGCCGATTTCAATAAAACTTGGTAATTATATGTAATTCCACGTACTTTTGAGGTGGGTTTTTTTAGTACTCTGTACTGATATTATCTTTTTCATTTCCAGTATCGAATTCATCGCGTCAAGTGCTCCACGAAATAAGCCATCTTGCATTGCACCATTTACTTTGTAAAAAACTCTACCTACTACATCCTGTCTAGCCAAAGATAGAATTACTTTCCATGTATTAATTTGTATAGATCACTTTTTAACGAATATGTAAACCAAATTCGCGATTAATACTGATATTATTCAAAATTTCGCTCAACAATTTTAATGTAATTTAACATATAAACGGTATGCAGGTTAATATGAATTCACTGAGGATTTGCCAACATGTTGACTTATGTGTATGTCCATGTTCGCTAATGAACTAAGAAATTCAATTCAATTCAACTTATTGCAGCATATAAAATTTATAAAGATCTTACAAACACATTTTATTAGTTCTGTTTATATGATACCCTGCAAGGGCACAGCAAAAAAGAGCAGAGGGCACAACACTTATTCTACAAACAATATCAAAATTTAAAATTAACAAAAATTAATTTTCGTATATAAAAAATAATTATAAATCGAACGTTACAGATTCATTAAAAACAAATAATAATCAATTTTAATGTAGGCATAACTGTTCTATCAACGAATGTATCATGGACATACACACATCAAAAAAAGTTTGCGATCAATAGCATAAACTCCTATAATTCTTTAAATTTAACTTTATCAAGAAAAAATCTATGTTGTATGCTTTCTTTAAATAGGATTTTTATTATTTATTTTAAAAAATTGAGCCATTAATCATAATGTAATAGTGATAGAAATTTCATAGAAAGAAAAAGACTGTTTAATTAAACTTAAACAACAATTTATTATTAAAAGGTGTGAATTCAATATAAAATAACTCCTCCCCTGGCTCGAATACATGCGAAGATCCTCCTGGGCATGCTGAGGATCAAGTTATCCAGCATTTCCTGGGGTAACCTATCCCATTCTTCAATAGCGGCTTCCCTGAGCTCTGGAACTGTCTGGGGACGTGGCTCACCGTTCCATACTGCTCGTTTAAGAGCATCCCACGCATGCTCTATTGGGTTTAAGTCGGGCGAGCCGGCAGGCCAGTCTAATCGTGTGATATCGTATTCTTGAAGAGCAGCATTGACTCGTTGAGCTCGATGTGCGGGCGCATTATCATCGACCAGTACAAATTGGTGCCCATGGTTTACTCGGAATGGTCTGACGATATCATCAATAGCAACTGCTTTGTACATGTCTGCTGTCATGAAGCCCCGATACGGGATCAAAGGCGTTCTAGCTCCAATCATAATGCCACCCCAAAAGGACACCGATTTTCCGCCTTGCTGAACTGTTCCAGTGGCAGATCTTTGTCTTTCACGGTCGCCTGGTCTTCTCCAGACACGGACACGTCGGTTATCTGGATGAGTGCTGATTCGGGATTCGTCAACGAAGAGACAGTTTTGCCAAATGTTTTCGTCCTCACCTTCTTCATTTTGCCGAAGTCTAGCCCACATCTTCGTTGTTGACGTTGCCGGGAATTGAGCGGAGCTCGCCAAGACCTCCGTGCTCGTAATCCAGCCTGGTGCAAGCAATTGCGAACGGTCTGCGTGCTAACTTCAAGCCCAGAGGCGGCCCCGACTTCTGCTTTTATTTTAGTGGCGTTGATTGTTGGATCACGGGCTGCCAGCAATCTAATATAGCGCTTTTGGGCAGCTGTCAAAACAGTTGGGCGACCGCTGCGGGGTCGGTCAGCTAAATTCCCCATTCCGTGATACCTCTGCAACGTAGCCACGACACAGGATTGGGATATAGCAAGTCTGCGTGCTATTACTCTCGTGGTGTATCCTTCTTCCCTCAAAGTTACTATTCTAGCTCGTAAAACCTCTGATAATCCTCTTGGCATTAAAAAAATATCTTGAATCGCTTATAATTGACTAAATCAGATTTCTGAATGAGCGTAAGCTAGGACTGAAAGCCTTTTTATATGAAAAAAACAATTGAACGGGGTCATTGTTTTATGTTCTAATTTATTTTTAAATAAAGAATCTAAAAAGAAGAAAAAATCATAATATAATCTACAGTAACAAAAAAGATTTCAGTTTTTCGAAGTGATCGCAAACTTTTTTTGATGTGTGTACATTGGTGGACATACGTCTATTTTAAAACGTTAGCTGTGAATTTGATCGCACCTCAATTTCAGATACATTTAATTTCCGGTTTAGTCACGAAATTTCAATGATTACGGTAAGAAGCCTATCAAATTATTAGTACAGTACAGTATGAGTACAGTAAAATTACGTAGTAAGGCTTCATTTCATCACATTTGCGAGCGTTTATTCAAAGAGCTTGGTTATATTTTCTTGGTTTTTTGTCGGTTTAGTAACGTTTCGTTACGTAACGATACGGAAAAAGCTGTGATCACATTGTGCTCTTTCTAACCATACAAAATTATGTACTTATTTGTTACTGTTCAAATGCTATATAATCCGCGACCTCCGTAGTCGAGTGGCTTGTACATCGCTTTTCAGGGTTTCCCATGTCTGAGCCCCCAGGTACGATCCCCGGCCGAGTTAATGCAGAAACCTAACTTTTCTATATTGGATCGGGACTGGGTGTTTATCGTACTGTCGTTGTTTTAGATTTCCATAATACAAATGCTTAAAAGTTACTTACTTTGACATCAGAGGCAAGAAAGACCAAGAGATACAAAGACAGAAATGGAGGTACAAAAAAGAAGTAAAATAATGTAAGCCTACAAGAGATAATAAATTTAAATGGAAATACTGCATATATTCAACTAATGCTGGAAAACAAAAAGCTAAATAGAATGTATTCTGATTTTGACAAAAACGAACGAAGGCTGAGACAACAAAATTATCGGCTGAAAATAAAAACCTTGACAACTTTTTTATTATGCCTAGAAAAAAAATTAAATTGTTAAATCAGCTTATATTGCGAATAAAGACTCACTACGCCTCCTCGCCACGTCGTCGTGGAGTGAAAGGGAAAGAATATAATCGGTTATTTTTTATTTCCCAACTGTGCCCAAGCCCTTATTTTCCGTTTTGTTACTTTCCATTTCTTTTCTGTTTAGTTACATGTACAATTTAAATGAATATAACCCATGTATATGTTTTTTCAAACAAAACGCAACATTCCGAGCCTTTGCTGGTCACATGGTTACAGCTGTAAAGGGCCCGACACTTTGGTTTGTTTGATAAACCATGTATATGCGACTTAGACCTGAAACAACAGTTTCATTTCCTATATATAACAATCGCAAAAACCTAATAAAACAAGGGGAGTGTTGAAATAACTTTATTTACTAAATTACATAGGTAAATAGATAATGTTGATGTTTAACTAATAACAATAATATTTATTGATCATTTTCATAATCAGCAGGGTTCTTAAGCTGTCGCCTATGGTGATCTCGTTCAACCCCTTCAAACACCAGGTACCCAATGATGAAAGCTGCAACAGAAGTATAAAGTTCTCAGAGAAGTTTATTTAGTTTATTCAAAGAGAGCTAATATTAATATTTTTTTTTTACAATACAGGTACTAATAACTCAATTAGGGGTATATAAATATCTAGTCAATGAATTTGATCTATGTTTAAACAATAAAAGATAAATTTGCCATTTTCTTTCTACATTTAAATTTGATAATATATATATAGTCATAGAAACAGATGAAAGAGATATAGAATCAGATGATAGAGATATACAATCAGATGTTGGAGTCTCCGCTGTGCATAGTCTCTTGGGGAGGGATCTAGCATCCTGAAACTGCATTTAATTACGCGTATTTAAAACCAGATTTTACAAATACATAATTATAGATTCTTATATGTAGCTGAGGAAATCATAAGTAATTCTTAATTGTTAATCTTTTGGATGACATGCAGAGGTTTGTACAAGTATGGATTTCTTTCGTATTTATAAACTGATTAAACTACAATTAAAATTTTAATTTGAATCGCAAACTACGGAAAAATAAAATATAACTTACGAGGGGCTACTCTGAATACACTTTCACGGAATCGTCGGAAAATATTTGGTAATCCATTGGAGATAGCACCAGCGTATGCCCGCTGTTCGTGAGGTGACAATTTGTAAGTAATTAATCCTCGAATCTTAGCAAGCTCACCAAAGTGCTTTCCCATTTTCTTCAATTTTACCTTAGATTTATTACGTAATAATCCAAACGTTCTTGCTTCTGCGTTGCCTACTTTTATTTTCCTTCACTGACTGACAATGACACAAGCGTGCAGTGTGACCAGATTTAAATTGATGATCCTGCTAGCTTTTCGGCTAAAATCTGCTAAACTTTTGAAAAAATGCTAAAATTGTGCTAACGCATAACTCCTATGTAGTATAGAATTAAACGCCACTTGTATTTATTTCCTAATCGTTTAATCTGTATAATAAATTTTACATAACACATTTTTCCACAAAAAGACCCATTCTGATCTGGGTTCACAAAGCTCTTGGCTATATTGAAGAAAATACTTATTTTTTGGTTTGCGAAGACCTGTCACAGGAAATAATGGCACTAAAATGTATGCATGGGGTGGACATTCTCGGGTCGAGCATTACTGTGTCGTACATTACTGTGTTGGGCAATATAGGGACTCGAATTATAATATTATTCTCTTTGGATAAAAAAGTTGCTGTTTCAAGCTATTACTACTCTACTGAACCAATACCATGTCGTCCTTACTTACTTTCATTCAATTTTAAAGCTCATTGAATCAGTTATTACGTCTACGGTGATGATAGCTACGAAAAAAATTAAAGCCAATGAACTTCCACGCACACACATGTTATTTGTCAGTATCAGTCACAGTCAGTCAGTCAACACAACAGCAACTTTGTGAATGTGAAGTGAATTAGTTTCGTCATCAAAAATTCCTAAGAATTATATTTAAGGTAAAAAAGCATTGTATTTTTTTAGAGCCACGCCATATAGTTTGTTGTTGAGTTTTGCTCTAACTTACTTTTGGGATACGTTGATTTTTCATACATCATTTGGTACACTGGGTCACGGTAATTTGTTTTTCTGATATGTATTCTACGAAAAACATATAGACCATAAAAACATGTACTTAGTAATATTTTTTGTACCCTTTCACCCTGAACAAATAGTGTATAACAATTTTATCGTTTTAAATGTTAATAACAATGATCTATTCAATCACAAAGCTAAAGCTATTACTTCTACAGACCTTTATTTCTTGGGTATATTCAATGCAAATTATAATTTCGGTCATGTAAATTACTGGACTGTTTTACAACTTTCATGGTGTTCTAAATATAATTTTAATAATAATTGTATGTAATAAATGTAATGATTTTATTACTCATATTTATCTATTCATAATTTTGTTTTTTGGTGCAGTCAAGAGCATGCCATGCTTGACCCTTAAAGAGTAACATTTTACTATAAGCCATTTAAAAAGATCCCTCTAAAGTTTCAAGTTTGACATGCTCTTACTTGATTGTATAATAGAAAAACAGGTAATTTGTAATTCTTTTGCATTTCTGTCTGGTATTCATTTATTATATTTGTGTTTGTATGGCTTATGTCACAGTTCACGAACATCACATCATTCTTCATTATATTTCAAATAATCTCCTATGAAGTCTAAGACTACAAATGATTCAAATTACCAGGCTGGAGATATAATCACTGAAGATTCACAAGAATTATATTGTATACAGACATCTATAGAAGGTACACCTGCAGAACCTGAAAATCAAACCTCCCGTGAAGCGGAAAACGGCAACGTTGAGTTGACTATTGTTGAATCTAGGCTTGTTGAAGAAGACATGGATGGAGATGAAAAGAAAGCACAAATATACTCACCAAACAGAAAACCTCAAAATGGTGGGGACCATGTACTTTTGTATATGAAATATATTTAAACAATTCTACAATCAAAAAATGTATGATATAGTGATTAAAATTTATCAACAAATGTAGATTAAAAAAATTATTATTATAGTCACATATTTTTAGCTAGCCCGTTGATAAATAATGAACTAGGGAAATTTTTGCCAATTAATTAAAACTTATATGTGTATAATAATGGTTATGAAATTTATTTGCAGCAATATATGTAAAGTATGCAAGTTTATTAATATTAACTTTACAAAATGCGGCATTGGGGCTTAGTATGCGGTATGCTTTTACAAGGGAAGGAGAAAAATTCTCTCCACCAGCAGGTGTGAACACTTTGTTAATTACTCATTTATTACTAGTCAAAATAATAATTATGTTCCTATTAATGTTAAATGGTTTTTATTTACTTTACAGCAATACTCATGGCCGAATTATTGAAATTAGTAATATGTTTATTTCTCGTAATTCAAGAATCTGGAAGTCTGCCTACTGCAGTACACTCATTGTATACCACAGTTATACTTAACATAAAAGATACATTACGTGTCGGAGTGCCATCATTTCTTTATGTTTTACAAAACAACTTACTTTACGTATCTTCTTCTAATTTAGATGCTGCTACTTATCAGGTACATAAACTTCCTTACTATTACACAATTATAATTAATAAAAGTTCACTGATGATAATGAAATCTTTTTCAGGTGACATATCAGTTAAAGTTGCTAACAACTGCATTCTTTGCCGTAGTAGTTTTAAAAAGAAAACTAAAAAGGTGGCAATGGATTGCTTTAGGTCTTTTAGCAGCTGGTATAGCAATGGTGCAGCTATCATCTACTACCAAGGAGGCTGTACCTACAGCAACAACCAGATCAGAGTCCAAAGTCATTGGATTTTGTGCAGCTTTAGCTGCCTGCTTTATATCTGGTTTTGCTGGAATTTATTTCGAAAAAGTTCTTAAGGAATCCGATGTATCAGTAAGTATTATTTAAAATTTTTACTAGATTACCAGTGGCGGATTTGCAGTCTTGTCCGCCCTAGGCTCCAGGCCCTGTAGTCAGTACCAGCCGTCCATTTCTCAGCACTCATCATATACTGGTAGACTACGTAATTAATTTACGTAATCGATTTCGATACAAATTGGCAACAAATGCCAACTTTTATCGAAATCGATTCAGAAATATACTATTTAATATTTTTCTAGAGCATTGATTTGATATATCTCTGTTAGTTTACGGGGCGAACGCCAGTAAAGCGCCCAGCCGGCATGATTTCCGACATCTTCAACATTTATCGACATATTTCAGCCAACTGACACAAAACCTAAATAAATTATACATTTAGCCTTCCTCATGAATAATTCTGTCTATTGGTGGAAACCGCATGAAAATCCGTTCAGTAGTTTTTAAGTTTATCGCGATCAGATAGACAGACAGATGCGATAGTGATAATATGTAGTGATCTAGTGATTATTCATTACATTATAAATATGTAACATATCTATATTTTATACATAAAATGTACGTAAGTGATTTAGAAAGATTATTGTTATACGGTGCAGTGCAGCCCGCCATAATGTGCGTGAGCCTTTAGAATATTTAGGTACTTTGGGATATTTCTTGTTATAATCAGTTAATTTTTTATCACAATTGGCCGCTCTAGGCCCGGGCCTACTGGGCCTTAGGGCAAATCCGCCACTGTTGATTACAAAGTATAAATAACTAAATTGAACTAAAAGAATCTCTGGAAATGCTTGTTTGATATTTAATGACTTCTATGAAATTTAAATAAAAGTGAAACTCGTTTTTAAATTTCGAGTTCATGAACTAGAAAATCGATTATGAATTTCACTATTATCATGTATATAAAGCTACAAGTTCTTACGGATATTCACGGAAATTATTAGAGATAGGTAGGAGGTGCTCGAAGGAATGTCATAGAGGGTAGCACTGGTCAACTGCCTGGGTTAAAAAAAATTCAAAATGGCGATTTCAAAATGGCGGCCGAAGAAAAACTTGCTTCGATCCGGCTGAAAATTGGCATGCGAGGGTCTTTAGGAGTCCTTAATCGTAATTTGGGGTCAAAAATTTCTTTTCGCAAAAATTTTTTTGAATATGGCTGCCATATAAGTGTTTTTTTTTTTCTTTTAAAATAGCTGCCGAAAGAAATTTGCACTGATTCGACTGAAAATTGGCATGTGAAAGCCACTAGAAATGCTCTTAAATCTTAAATGATAATATATTGTGCTCAAAATTTGTTTTTCGTTATTTTCAAATATGGCCGCCATTAGAAGCGTGTGTTGGCGGCAGAAAAAAAATTGCTTAGATCCCTTTTGTAAATTGGCATATGGGGGTCTCTAGGAGTGCTTGATAATAATTTGTGATCAAAATTGGTTTTTCGCCATTTTTAAATATGGCCGCCATACAAACTCTTTTAGCGGCAGATAAAAATTTGCACTAATTCGATTGAAAATGGACATGTCGGGATCTTTATGAATGTTTAATAATAATTAGCGGTTAAAATTTATTTTTCACCATTTTTCAATATGGCTACCGTACAAACTTTTTTGGCGATAGATACAAACTTCTTCTAATTCGACTGGAAATGTCGTAATGGGTAAAAATTTTGTTTCCGTTGTTTTTCGATATAGCCGTAATTTATTTATGTAACTTGCTTTGCACGGACTGCAAATTAGCACGAAAAGATTTCTAAGATTGTTTGATAATAATTAGTAGCCATAATATACTTTTGTAATTTTTAAATATGGCCGCTATTTAATTTTTTTTTAAACAAAGTCCTTAGTGCCGGGGTCCGCGGAGGGCGAAGCCCGAAGCGTCCGCACGCCTTCGTATGGAGGTAATTATACAGCGTGTCCCAAAATTCAACGATAAGCGGGCGCTGGAGGGTGGACCTGCGCATAACTACTTGAGGAAAAATGGGAAAAAAAATTTATATCATTTCTTTTTTCAATTACGATAAAAAAATTGTTATTCTTCGAAAATTTACTCCCTTAATGATATTTTAAATCACCACGACCACAATTTTTCAGATATTTCTGATGTTTTTATTTTAACGGCCACCTAAGTAGTACTGCTGTCTACCACAACTCTTAAAATTCCCAGAATGCCTGCAATTTTACAAAAAAATCCATCATAATATTTTTTTTCCTTGAAATTTTGAAATATTTTTACCTGCAGTGGACTTTCACTCATCGTTTTGTAAAAAAAAAGTACGGACACCACTGCGGCAAGTATTTTTAAAAATTGACGCAACTAACCAAGATTCCGAAATGGTATAATACTTTAAGAGAACTAGGCGCAAAAAAATATTGGTACCGTTTCTAAGAAAGACTAAATTTCTTGATTATTGTTCTTATTCATAATAATCACTTTCACTATGTGCCGAAAAAAGATTATTTGATGCAATTTCTTGGAATTTCAATGGCACATGTGCGTAGTCGATACAATTTAGAAATTAGAGAGAGAAAGATAGCGAGAGATATACGTTAGAAAGAGATAGATAGATGTCCTTTGTTGAATAACAATAAAGCAGGTACTTAAAAAAAATGTTGCAAAAAATATTCGTACCATTTTTAAGAAAGACTAAAATTCTAAATTACTGTTCTTATTTATAGTAATCACTTTTACTATTTGCCGAAAATAGGTTTTTGTTGCTGAAATAGTTGAATAAATCAAAACAAATGGTATTTCTTCATTTAATTTATTTATTGCAAAATTAACATTATAGTAAATGTTCAAATTGTTTGCCACCAGCATTAATACATGCACGACATCGCCTTAAAAATGATCGTTTTATCTGTCGTGCATATCTTCTACCGTTGATATGAGCCGCAGCTTGATTGACTTTTTGCCGAAGCTCGTCCAATGTTGTGATGGGTTTTGCGTAAATCCTGTCTTTGAGACAACCCCAATAGAAGAAATCCAGGGGGTTTAGGTCGGGTGAACGGGGTGGCCATAAGATAGGGCCAAGTCGCCCGATCCAACGCCCAGGATATTCTTGGTTTAAGTATTCTCGCACAGGACGGGCGTAGTGCATAGTCCATATGGTGGAGCTTGTGACGTTTCAGAATTCGATGTGCCGTACTTTTTGGGATTCCCGTAGCTGCTTCTATGGCACGTACTGAGGTAGTTGCATCAATGTTTATTTCATTGAGAACTTCTTCATCGCATTCCGATTTCGGTCTTCCAGCGTTTCTTCTGGCAGATGGAAAATGACCCTCCGAAAACGCTCGATGCACATTCAAAAATACTCGATAATCCGGGTATCTTTCAGTGTTTGGGTACCTTTCTCGATACAATCTGCTGGCAGCGTTAGCATTGCACCGACATTCTCCATAAATAAGGTGCATGTTAGCGTATTCCACCGGTGTGTATGGTAGCGGCATGATAAACGACAATCAGTTCAAAATACGCCAAAACTCCAATTCACAGTCCAAAGTGATGCCAGGTCAATTTAGTTTGCAGATCACTTAAATCCAGTCCAATAAGCCAAGCCAAAAGTCGTTAGTATGAGAGCTACGTCAATTGATTACGGAAAGGTGCGCAGTAAACAAAGGAGCAGAGCGTATTGACTTGCTGAGCACCGGAACTTCTCTACCTGCGTTATTCCTATTCAACAAAGGACATCTATCTATCTCTTTCTGACGTATATCTCTCGGTATTTTTCTCTCTCTCTAATTTCTAAATTGTATCGACTACGCACACGTGCCATTGAAATTCCAAGAAATTGCAACACATAATCTTTTTTCGGCACATAGTAAAAGTGATTATTATGAACAAGAACAATAATCAAGAATTTTGATCTTTCTTAGAAATGGTACCAATATTTTTGGCGCCTAGTTTTATTAAAGTATTATACCATTTTGGAATCTTAGTTAGTTGCGTCAATTTTTAAAAAAACTTGCCGCAGTGGTGTCCATACTTTTTTTTTACAAAACGATGAGTGAAAGTCGACTGAAGGTAAAAATATTTCAAAATTTTAAGGAAAAAAAATATTTTGATGGATTTTTGTGTAAAACTGCAGGCATTCTAGGGTTTTTAAGAGTTGTGGTAGACAGCAGTACTACTTAGGTGGCCGTTAAAATTAAAACATCAGAAATATCTGAAAAAATGTGGTCGTGGTAATTCAAAATATCATTAAGGGAGTAAATTTTCGAAGAATAACAATTTTTTTATCGTAATTGAAAAAAAAAATGAGATAGATTTTTTTTCTTATGGTCCACCCTCCAGCGCCCGCTTATCGTTGAATTTTGGGACACGCTGTATATAAAATAATAAAAATAGCGAAAAACCAATTTTAATCACAAATTTTTATCAGACACTTCTAAAGAAGATCTCGGTATGCTAATTTTCAAAGGGAACACAGCAATTTTTTTCTGCCACTCAAGAACGCTTGTATGGCGGCCATATTTGACAATGGTGAGAAACCAATTTTGACCACAATTTTTATCAGGCTCTTCTAGAGGCCCCCGCATGCCTATTTTCAGCCGAATCAGAGCAAGTGTTTTTCGGCAGCCATTTTTAACGAAATAAATGCTTGAATGGCCGACAGCCATATTAAAAAATGGCGAAAAAACTTATGATCCCAAATTATGATTAAAGAGTCATAAAGAGCTCCGCCAATTTTCAGCCGGATCGAAGCATGTTTTTCTTCGGCCGCCATTACCCTCTCTATCTCTTATAGTAGTAATAGTTTCTATGAGGACCATGAAATTTTTATGGCGGCCATCTTGTTTATTTGAATTTCAAACAATTTTTACATCCCCCTCTATGTACACACATCAAAAGTGTCAAGTGAATATTTTTGAAATAAAAATTATTTAAGCAATATTTACCA